AATTAAATACTCAAAGGATTTTCTTCTTCCAAGGAAAAAAAAAGCAGAATTCAAAGAAGTGTTGCCCAAAATGACAGGTTTGTGGTTTTTTTTAACCCCACTAGTACTACATTATTACAGATAAAGCCTATTCCCTGATGGAAATTTGAGAGCCTAAATGTGAGCCACACTTGTTATGTTACAGACCTCGGCATTTCAATTCCTCTCTTCTGAAATGAGGCTCAGACTAGCACGAAAAGCTCCTCTTTTTCTAAATGTAGAAACATCTTGGGCTTTGGAATGAGAAAGACTGCTGGAATCAATTAGGCAAGATACTTAACCTCCAAGAGCAGTTACTGCAGCTATAAAATAAGGATAATGGTGACTACCTTCATTTAATCATTCAACATATATTTATTGAGAATCTTTTAAGTATGAAGCACTGGGTACATAAAGGTACATGTATATGCAGATATAAACACACACGAGGGACTTCCCTGGTGGTGCAGTGGTTAAGAATCCACCTGCCAATGCAGAGGACACGGGTTCGAGCCCTGGTCCGGGAAGATCCCACATGCCGTGGAGCAACTAAGCCCATGCGCCACACCTACTGAAGCCTGAGCGCCTAGAGCCCATGCTCCGCAACAAGAGAAGCCATGGCAATGATAAGCCCGCACACTGCAACGAAGAGTAGCCCCTGCTCGCCGCAACTAGAGAAAGCCCGCACGCAGCAACGAAGACCCAACACAGCCAAACATAAATAATAAATAAATTTATATTAAAAAACAAAAACACATGGACTTCAGGGAAAACATAGCATAATGCTGATAGACCTTTACATTCTGGGCAGAACAGCTGAGCTTGCTCAGTGAATATGACTAGACCACGAAGACCTAAAGACACTGACATCAGAGATTACCCAACTAAATGGCCCAGCTAGATTGCCACACTGAGCAGCTCACTGTGACAAGCCCTACCTAGAGCCTCAGGGATTCTAACCATTTTGCTAGCTTCCACTCTTATATCTGAGCAGAAGGGCAAAAATTATGAGTCTCTAAAACAACATATTCAGGAAAAACACCAGAAACAAACCATAATGGAGGAAAGAGACACCATGCAGGGAGAATTTTTTAAATGATCATTGACATTCTCAAAGGGAAGAGAAGATATTTCAACCAGGATAAAGGCCAATTATATATGTGTATGTATATATGTTTTACATACACACAGATACATCTATATCTTTGTGAAAGAAACATCTAGAGAACAAATGAAAAGCTCAATAAAAGGGTCAGAAGACAAAGGCAAGGGAATTTCCTACAGAGCAAAAAGACTGGAAGATGGAAAATAAAGGGCAAAAAAATCAGAGGACTAGACCAGAAGGTCCAATATATGAATGACAAAAATCCTCCAAAGAAAGAACAGAGAAAATGGAAGGGAGGAAGCCACTGAAACAACTCAAGAAAATGAGCAGAGTTTCCAGATTGAAAGGACTCACTAAGTACATGCCAAGTACCATTGTTAAAAGTAAACCCAGGGGCTTCCCTGGTGGCGCAGTGGTTGAGAGTCCTCCTGCCGATGCAGGGTACACGAGTTCGTGCTGCGGTCCGGGAAGATTCCCACATGCCGCGGAGCGGCTGGGCCCGTGAGCCATGGCCGCTGCGCCTGCGCGTCCGGAGCCTGTGCTCCGCAACGGGAGAGGCCACAACAGTGAGAGGCCCGTGTACCGCAAAAAAAAAAAAAAAAAGAAAAGAAAAGTAAACCCAGACCAGGGCACTCTGTTAAGAAGCTGAAAAACACTGGAGACAAAGAGAAGATCCTATATATTTCCAGGGACTGAAAACAAGTCACATGAAAGAACTCAGAATTAGAATGCTTTGTACTTCTTAAGAAATGCTGGAAGCTAGAAAGCAATGGAACAAAGCCTTCCAAATTTCGAAGGGAAATAATTTCTAATCAATACCAAAACTACCATTTAAGTGTGATGGTAAATCAAAAACATTTGCAGAAGTGCAAGACTTCAAATATTTTACCTCATATTCACCCTTTCTCAGAAAGCTCCATTTTGCTGGAGATGCTACAGTAAAATGAGAGAATAAACCAAAATGAGAGAGTAAATGAGAGTGTCCAAGAAGAAGACATAGGATTCAGGAAACAGGGATTCCAATATAGAAGAGAGATGAAGAATTCCCAGAATAATAATGAAAAGAGATTCAGGGAGGAGAGCTGTGCAGTACATGTAGAGGGCACCAGTCCAGAGGCTTTGCAAGAGAATTCATCCCAAAGATAAAATTAAGAGAATGATGCATCTGAACAACCTGAAAGAAGGTTAAGCAATTGGTGAGGAGCTTGGGGTTGAATCTGTGATAAGTTCAGAAAAAGAACCAGGAGCAAGATAACATTATTTGCTCCAGGAAAAGTAGAAAGTTGCATAGAAAAGAAAAAGTTTACTATGTGGCTTAGATGTTAAAAGCATTGTATAGTCATAATAATATAAGCACTAAATATTCAGTGAATCAAAATTATGATATGTCTATTGTGTGGATAAAAGTTATAAAAGGTATGAATATGAAATGGGGATAGGAAGGGGAAAGAGAGCTAAATTTTTCTTCCATAATGGGATATCAATACATGCTGCTTAAAACATGTATTTTAAGAAATACAAGAAATAAAGATATTTCTTTAAGAATCAAGAAATATCAATACCAGCATGTGATTTAGAAAAATAATGGTTAAATACCAAAATAATTAACTTAAAAAGATGTAAATGGTAGCCTCTGGGAAGAGGCAAACAAGGGTAGGGCATGAGAGCGGGAGACTGCTGTTGTTAGTAACTCCTGGCGGAACCTGGCTGAGTAGATCTCACCCTGACCACACAAGGGAATTATGCTGATACCTGAGACCCACCCCAGGCCAAGCAAATTAGAATCACAGGAGTTGGGACCCAGGTACAAGTGGTTTTGAAGAGGGCTCTGAATGTTTCTGATGCACAGAAAGAGAACTACAGCTTTCAACTATATGGATGAGTTACTTTCATAAAAATTAAAAAGTAATACTGAAATGAAGAAATAACATGAAGTGTTTGTATTTACATGAAGAAACATTTAGAAAACACATATATGTTCATAAAACATTCATATGGATGAAATGGATATAACAAAGTATGTACTGAAGAAATAATACATGTCACCCAGTTCTTTTTCATTAGAAACTTGCAAAATGATAGTTTAAGAATTTTTATGTGCTTTGTGGGAAAAGTAAATGTCAGACACTTTCATATGTTAACACAGAGAACTGCACACCTGATTCAGAGGCATTAACTAGTTTTTTAAAAGACCAAATTAGTCTACATCATGCCCTTATTTGCCTACTGCCCATGGGCTCCCCATTTCATTTCTAAAGATCAGAATGTTCTTGACAATTTAATTTTTTAGAGGAGTGACACTGCATGTGCCATCAACACCAAACACACACAGAAATCTATTATTCCATTGTTATCCTGGGTGTTGGGATATTGAAATTTAGAATTAAATCATGAGACATAATTCCAATTATGCACAATGGTGTTTTTTCAAAATCATCATCCAATACGCAGTCTACATCCAAATGACACTCTGGAAATAGCAGGTACATAACATGAATGATATTCTTGAGCTTATAAAAGATGGTATCAAATAATGTCCAATTAAATCGAGAGAAATTAATAGATTGTGAAAATACTTTCAATGCATGCTAGATCATAGTAAGCAATACACTTGCTTACTGTGCATCAACACATTCTGTTACATTGTTAAACTGTAGCAAATGTTTCCTTTTCATTGACAAAGGCACAGAATGCTTTTTTTGAATTCTGTGAAGACACAAAATGCCTGGACTCTTCTGATTTTATATGTTTAAATGGGGTAGCCAATAAACCTTTTCCTCTAGCAGCCTCCCACCCTCTCAAAAAGATTAAAAATGACAACAGCACACTCACAATTTAAGAGTGTACATAGCTAGTTTTCCTAAAAATCAAAAGTTGTAACGTTAAACTTGACAAAATGGGTAGCAAGAAACATGCTGAACAACGTAGGGTGGGATGGATGCTCTTGGAATTCCGACTTTAAAAAGTGAAACTAAGCATGAAAATTAGATGGAAAAATATGCTTGGGGTCAGCTTTTTTGGCTACCAGACATTTCTGTTGCTCTCCTGAAATAAACGTATTAACGTTTGCTTCCCCATCTAATATATGAACACCCACAACAGAAATAATTTTAATTGGCAGATCTGTGTTTCCAGCATATTTCTGAGTATACTGTCCACTAATGAAATATTCCAACCATATACAAAGGGCTCCAAAAATTCTGTTTTCATTTTCCTGTAAATTACTATTGTTTGAATTTTAGCATCCAGCTTTAAAGTGTCTCACTGCTGCCATTCTTTATACAATCATTGAAAACCACTGCTTCTATAGCAAAATATAAAAGAAAGAATTTTCACATTAAGTCCCTGTTACTTATTTCAGAATTCAGGGTCATCTTTTTTTTACTTACTGTCGCAAATTAAAAAAAACAATAATAAGTGCCTCTAAAACAATTTGTGTTGATATTCAATGAATATAACTCTATAACATGGGATAGAAATTCCACTTAAACTATAGTAGCTCAGTGTATAGAGGGGAAAAAGTTTGAAAACTAGAAAATAAAATGTTCCCATATACTTCAACCTCTATAAAAGAAAACTATTCTGGGTTATATAACAAAAATAAACCTCCCACCAGTGATCTTGGAAATCTTGAATTTTTTTTCCCGCAGGAGGATTTATTATTTTCCACTGAGTGTCCATTCATGCGTTTTCTTCTTGTTTCTATTCATAGCACCAGATCCTGACTAGCATGCACAACCTCAAAAGAAAAGAAAGACTAAATACAAACTGTGTAAAATTAAATAAAATAAAGCAAAATAAAAAGGCACATGTTCAGATTGGTTACCTCAGGGTGGTGCCATAGTGTCTAACGTGGAATAGCACTCATGGAACTCACCTTATACGCAACACTATTGGATGAATCCACAATGATGAACAGGGGCTTCCTTGTGAAAGGATAGAGATCTCCAGGATGAAGGCTGGGAAAACAACAACGAGAGTAACAGTGAATGACTGTATAACTTTATCAGCCAAGTCTCAGAAATCTTAATTATCAGTTTGGTCTGCTCACATCTCCTTTTTGTCACAGCACTGGGAGAAAAACAAAGATTAATTAAGCAAAAGACCAAAAAAGTCTGTATTTACTGGGGTAGACAAGTTAACAGTTTTATTTGGAAAAAAAAAATTCGAACATAATTATTATTCAAGAATATTCAAGCTAAAGAGAAGTCTCTATATTTAATATATATATTAATATATTTAAAGATGGATTAATAAATACACATGAAAATCTCAGAAGTCAGCATTTAGGGACTTTCTTAGTATTTAAAAGTTCCTCCTAAAAAAAAAAAAAAAAAAAGTTCCTCCTAAGAACATGTTCTGAAAACAAGATGTAATAACACAACCAGATTTCTATTTCAATGAATCTTTCAAAATCTATATCCATTTTAAAGATTTTTATTATTTTAAGCTATATCTTAATATTGCAGACAATAAGCAGGGGCTCCCCTTCTATTATCTACATTTCCTCTGGACATGTGCATCAGAATCAGCTGGGGTGCTTGTTAAAGATACAGATTCACTGTGGCCCACAGAAGGCTAAAGCAGTAACATGCATTTGAGAGCCACTGCTTAAGGTCACAATTTTGGTGTGCATGCTCTTTCCCATGGCTGGTGGACAATGTGGGTAGTTTATAAATATTTATGTAAATATACAAAATGATGTTGTCAATGAGCAATATCATCAAACCCCAATATATTTCAAATACAAGTTTTTCTGATATAAATCATTTACAACTATGGTCAACTATAGCACCAACACATGGCTTGGGGGACCATTAGCTATTATACGTGTAATTTGAAACATTTCCCTCTGCCCTCCCTTCCCCACTCTTTAATATGAAGAGTTACATTTTTATGTAAAGTGCTATTAGAAATGCAGTTTCAAGCAAGTCCTGTTTCCTCTATAATGAGACTGCTCTCTCTCAGCTAGGGAAATTTTAGAGCCCATAATGGCCCAACCAGTGAATGCACTGAGCAAACTTTCATGGATGAAATCTCCTTGAAATCATACAGCTAACTTCATTTTTGCTATATCACACCAACATAACCTTATATTAAAAAGCTTATATTGGAAGAAAAAAAAAAAAAGCTTATTTTGGGCTTCCCTGATGGCACAGGGTTAAGCATCTGCCTGCCAATGCAGGGGACATGGGTTCAAGCCCTGGTCCGGGAAGATCCCACATGCTGCAGAGCAACTAAGCCCATGCACCACAACTACTGAGCCTGCGCTCTAGAGCCTGCAAGCCACAACTACTGAGCCTGCATGCCACAACTACTGAAGCCCGTGCACCTAGAGCCTGTGCTCCGCAACAAGAGAAGCCACTGCAATGAGAAGCCCACGCACCACAACAAAGAGTAGCCCCGCTCACCGCAACTAGAGAAAAGCCCGCGTGCAGCAACAAAGACCCAACACAGCCAAAAATAAAATTAATTAATTTTTAAAAGGCTTATTTTGATATTAACGTGCATCATGTCCTGCCTTATTATTTATGTATATATTTATTGTCTCCTCCAACTTGAATGAACAGATCTCCAGTGATTGAATAGTTCCTGACATATAATACATACTCAATAAAAAATTGTAAAATAAATATTAACCAACAATTCTAATTGCCTAAGATAGTCAGAGCCGGAGATATTGCTGGAATCCAAATAAGTGTTATGAATAGCAGTCTAAGGGAACATTCCATTTTACTTAATATTTTATAAGAGAGAACTATAATTTTTATAATACATACCAGTGCATTTCCTTGTGGGATTGATTTCGTTTGTGGATGGCATCTCCATTTATAATATCCCGGTTACTATTAGTAAGTACCCCTCCAAAATCATAAGGACCTATAAAACGAAAGGGAAGAATCCTAGACTTCAATTGGAGAGTAGCATTGATCTGATGTTCAAACACAAAGGTGTTGGGTGAATCTTTCATCGATACAAATGGAAGATAATTACAAAACATTTTTATTAATTGAAAATTTAACATTTTAGTTTAACATAGCACTTAAATGATTTCAGCATGTTGCCTGTTCCAATATTTTAAAAGATCATCTGACCATCTTCATCAGTTCTTCAGATTATAATGAGAAACAAATCAAGAATCTACTGCATCCCATTATTCTGGGTAAAAAAGAGATGGAGATCTGGGATGTTCAAAATGATCTTCTCATTTCAAGCAAAACTAAAATCTCAAGTTCAACAAAATTATTTAAGTAAGAAAGTTGCAGAATGAAGTCCTAATAATTTCTTAAATATAATTTTAAAAGGGCCACTAATTGTAAAATGTAGGGAAATTTTTGAATGGAACTTGAAAATTCTCACTGACAAAAACTTCATTTTTAAGAAAAGAATTACCAAATACCAGTGTAGGAAAAAATCCACTATTATTATTATTACATCAACCACTGTAATTCCGGTTTGGGAATTAGCCTTTTCCCACTGGTCCTATCAGTTAGTTAAATAAACTCTTGTGTAAATGGAACAGCAACTGTGGGATGTTAGGAATAATCTCTCTCAAAGGACCATTCAGTTAGTAACTACTGTACTTTGAAAAAAGTAAAACAAGAGATCAATACATTAGGCAGGGCCCAGAAAATCTGATTCAATAGTGTATAAGATATGGAAATAATTATTTATAAATAAAAGTACTAACTTTATCACCAAAAAATTAAAGTATTTATAATTTTGCATCACTTTTTTTTTTTTTTTTTTTTTTTTTTTTTTTTTTGTGCGGGTCTTTCTCTTTTGTGGCCTCTCCCGCTGCGGAGAACAGGCTCCGGACGCACAGGCTCAGCGGCCATGGCTCACGGGCCCAGCTGCTCCGCGGCATGTGGGATCTTCCTGGACCGGGGCACGAACCCGTGTCCCCTGCATCGGCAGGCAGACTCTCAACCACTGTGCCGCCAGGGAAGCCCTGATTTTGCATCACTTTTAATAGTGTTATATTTTATCCCTTAAAAAAAAATCACTGCAATGAAGAGAGATTTATTTTGTTTTGTTTTCATTTTAACACTTTAAGAGGATCTGTAGGTCATGCAAGGAAGATGGCAGGGACATGCATTGTATAAAGGAATGCAAATTTCAACAAACAAATGAGGAGGAAAATGTTAAGGATGTTAAGAACAATTTTTTTTTTGTCCAGGTAAAGATTTAATTGCCTTGTTTACATCCAAGCTACTCATCTAGTTCAACCAATTTCATATATTCTGGACTCACATGTTCTGGACAACTTCAAGTTTTTATTCTAAAATAGCATCCCAATATTCTACAGATTGAATCCATAAAACCAAAGAAAGGACACAAAATAAAATTATGTCAAGGACTTGAACTTTCACAGTTACAAAAGTGCACTGATTTCTACAAGACTTTCAGCCACAGTGAAGCCGCTGACCAGATTCCCTAACACACTAAAGGCTCAGAAAAATTCAACGATGTGAAGTAGATAATTAGGCTTGGTTATTCCATGCACATATATGTGTTTGCTTTTAGCAAATCTGTTAGAGAGGCATGCATGTAGTATGTGAATTTGCTGATTTTTTTTAACTTTACCGTATAATATTTCAGCAAATAAAACAGACTGGGGTATCTACAAGATTGCCGATTCAGCAAATAGACCCGGTTTCAAATTTGGGAGCCTCTCTAGAAAGCTTGAGATTGTCTGTGGGCTATGGGCCATCGCCTTGTAGAAAATAAAGAGAATTCAAGCCCTGCTCACGACAGGGAGCATTCCTTTATTGTACCTTCACTATCAGAACGACCTGTGGGGAAAACGCCAGTGGCTGACAGGTAAATCAGAAGCACACTATTGGCAGGCAGCTCCTGAAATTAAAGAAAATCACATACACAAAACGACAAACAGAAAACAACAGTTTTATTGAAAGTTCATGACATTTTACAGTTGTAGGGAAAACAAGAACCTAATTTAACATATAATGGTCTCTTCCAAGAGAAAAGTCACTCTTGCTAGTTCCAACTTATAACTGTCTACACAGCAAAGATTCATTATTAACCTATAACCATTGCCAAAAGTTTTGAAGACAATCTCTGCTTCAAAACCCCATCATTTAAAGAACGTTCTCTGGAAAACTTAAGATGGAGAAGTAAAGATCCTGACTATAGGTCTAAAAGACAAACTTCCATCTGTGCCTTTCTCTATATAAACTGAGAGGAATTCCCTACTCATGGTTCTTTCAGACGACCAAAATGTTTCCCAGAGCCACCATTCAGGTGGCTATTCTATTTATAGAACATGCCTATAAAATCTGCTCCTGTTTTTCAGTTCTGCATTGACTATTATGCCTAAAGCAGTTTAGCAAGAAAAACCCGGAGAAAGGAGAATGATAATTAATCAATATTCTCATTAATTAATGGTAGGGAACATTCATAACATAATAAGCAATTTCCATTCCAAAAACAGCTATGATTAGGATATTCTAAGGCAGTTTTCATTTTCATATTTTTCCTAAATTCTTGACTCAAATATTCAAAGAGAAGAGTGACTCTCAGATTCCATTTAAGGCACACTTTCCCCATATACTAAAAAGTACTGGATGATAGATACCTTAAAAGATGCTGCTAAGAATGTGTATAGTTGGCTGAATGTTGGTTTGTAGAGCAGGTACTTGTGGGGGTTTTCTCGCCTGGTAGGCTTGTCAGCTGATTCCTATATTTACACACAGAAAACAATGCACATACAGTTGGTCCTCTGCATCCATGGATTCACCCAACCACGGATCAAAAATATTTAGAAAAAAAATTCTAGAAAGTTCCAAAAAGCAAAACTTGAATTTGCTGTGCACCAGCAACTATTTACATAACATTTACAACTATTTACATATAATTTACATTCTATTAGATGTTATAAGTAATCTAGAAATGATTCAAAGCATACGAGAGGATGTGCATAGGTTGTATGTAAACACTATGCCACTTTAAATAAGGGACTTGAGCATCTGCAGGTTTATCCACGGGGGTCCTGGAACCAACCCCCCGTGGATACAGATGGATGACTATACAAACTGTACGTGACATATGAATTATCAATGCCTATTTTTACTATCCTTTTCATTAAATATCTTTTTTTAATTAGCATTATGCTTATCTATTTCTCCTGCGTCTCATCAGGAGAATTCTTTATTCACACTCATGGCTTTCGCTGAATAATAGCATTCCATGAGGAGCAGAAGCAGCAAGTTGCAGATGTAGGGAGAAGGTCACCTGCATTCCTGGTTTATTCATCTGGGAAGCTAAATTCATTGGCTCCCTTTCCAGGGCTTGTAACATCCGGAACATGTCAACAGTTAGTTCACTGAACTTAACCTGCAAGGAAAACAAAACTGACCGTTAATGCAGTACGCAGACCTTGAAGTGTTTAATCATATTGTTACTCTTGACTTTCATGTGTACCTGATGACACTGGATATTTTATTCCAAAAAATTTCAAAAGACAGAAAGTTAAAAAAATTATACAGTGACACCCTTATGCTCAATAGCTAGATCCTATAACATTAACATTTTTCTATATTTGCTTCATCACGTCTCGCTCCATCTATCAATACTTCTATCAATCCATCCATTTCCACAGGTATTTTTAAAAACAAAAAGTAGTCACGTAAACACAGATACCTATATTAGATCCCATAAAACATGTTAACTTTTGGCAAACCAGCCAGGCTGCAATATGACTATGGCCCTTTTAAAATCACTTCATTACATTTTGGCACTACATAATGTTTAAGGTTGAATCCTGAGAATTGCCTGGAGGTCCAGTGGTTAGGACTTGGAACTCTAACTGCCGGGGCCCTGCGTTCAATCCTGGGTTGGGGAACTAAGACCCCACAAGCCACGTGGCACAGCAAAAAAAAAGAAAAAGAGAAAAGACTGTATCCTTTTCTATTTTGTTTTGTTTTTAACAACTTATTTTTTATTTATTTTTGGCTGCGTCGGGTCTCAGTTGTGGCATGCAGGCTCTTCACTGCAGTGTGCCGGTTTCTCTCTAGCTGTGACGTGCAGGTTTTCTCTTCTCTAGTTGTGGCGCGCGGGATCTGGGGCGCGTGGGCTCTATAGTTTCCGGCACGCAGGCTCTCTCGTTGAGGCACGCGAGCTCAGTCGTTTTGGTGTGCGGGGCTTAGTTGCTCTGTGGCATGTGGGATCTTTGTTCCCCGACTAGGGATTGAACCCAAGTCCTCTGCATTGTAAGGCGGATTCTTTACCACTGGACCACCAGGGAAGTCCCCTCCTTTTCTATTTTGAATAATACTTCTACAGAACTTCATGTAGGCAAGGTTTTACTTTAAATTAAAATGTTTTAATTTAGAAATTTGCAAATTAAAGCTTTAAAATCCAAAATTGGAGAATTATAAGAAAAAGTTAACAACAAAAATGACAGATGTAAGGGAAGGATCCAAAATTAAAACTTGTATAAGTAATACATATAGAAAAGTGTATCCATTGGTGACCTTTCCAATATCCCATAATTTTCAGTAAATTACAGTTGTAGTACCTTAAATCCTCATTGTCATGGGACTATTCTGTCATGAAAAAATATCTGAAATTTGCTTTTGACAAATGTACTTAAAAATAACTCCTCCCCCATTTTTGCCTGATTGTAAAGGCAATATACAGATGTAGAAAGTTGTAAGGAAGAAAATAAAAATCACTTAAAATTTTGCTAAACTTTTTAGAGATAAATCTTTTATGATATTGGTAAATTTCTTCCTTGTCTTTTTCTTGTGCATATATGTATTATACATAGACATTTTAACATATATAATAAAATAATTCTGTTTACATAGGTCCATATTATTTTCACTTGCCATATCATAAGTATCTTCTTCTGTGATTAAAAATTCTTTCTAAACCATTTAAATGTCTATAGTACAGTCCATATATAGACACAGCATAATTTAATTAACTATTTCCTAGCAAATGGATGTTAGGATATTTACAATGAAATAATTCTGTAACAATCAAAAGTACTATTTTTCAAAGTGAATTTTAAGCATAATTCCTTCACAATTCTTTACCTGGTTACTACAATTACCAATAATGAGTGCATCAGCCAGAGACAACTGTCCCACAATCATGCCCTGTTCCAGCAATGGGGCTCCTGTTTCAGCAAGACGATTAGACGTGATAACAATGGTATTATCATCATTTAATACCATCACAGGGTCTGCCTGGAGAAAAAGCAGTAAGTGGTTGATGGCCAAGACAAAATGTCAATATAAGAAGTTATTCCTTCTTTTTGACATATACACATAGTAAAAAAGTATACCACATATGCATTTACATACATAATTATGATAACCTTTCTTGTCAAGAACTGACCTCAATGAAAGCTGCTACTTCTTGAAGCACCAGGTTCCATTCCACTTGATCTTCAGTATTAAAGCGGTGAGTGTAATCTTCAATTTCATCCGAGAGTTCCTGATTTTACAATATCACAAAGAGAAATGGTTATAGAAAAAAAATCATAAAAATACATTGTATATTGTACCATACTCCTGACAGAAACTGATACAGTTAAGAAGTTTGATTATTATCAGTATACAGTCCCAGTTATAACCAAAACAGAGTGAAAATTACATGGGCTTGCTTCAAAATCAAAAACTCCAAAATGATAACACATCAATAAGATCTTCATAGAAATCCACAGTGACCCATACCTACTCTGCTACATCAGCAATGACTTTATTAACAGGAAACTCTTAAAGGTAAACCCCCCCAAATTTTAACATTAAAAAAATATATATATAAATTCTTTGTATTTATATCATACTATTTCTTTTGGAAATAATCTTATTAGTAACTGGGGATGGAGGAAGAAGGCTTGTCAAAACTAGCATGTTATACTGAATCACTTTGCTATACACCTGAAAATAACACAATACTGTAAATTATACTTCAATTAAAAAAAAAAGCAAAAACTAGCATGTTATACTCGAGCGCCAAAAAATCAAGAAGTATGCCATTGAAACCACTAACTGAATACAGAGTGTAACCAGAATGTAGCATGCAATAATTACAGATATTAAGTGAATCTAGAATGCAGTTAACTCTTAATTACCTGAGGTAATGAGGATAGAGTGATGCAGATATACTAAAGGGAGGAAAAATCGAAACTCATTCACACCTTTGTAAAACATTTTTCTTGACCTAACTTTTCAATTATTTTCTTAAACCAAATATTTTAACTTTTGTTTACATTTGCCAACCATTCATGGATGGGTGATGAAATGTAAAATAAACTAAGGGGACAAAAGTAAGAAATTAAGACAATTATCTCTGGTGTATTTGAAATATGAAGAGTTGGAAAAATTTTTTATCATTACCCTTGTCATAAGTTACCATACTCTCAAAGTTGTAATGATTTAGATATATCAAAATTATTTTAACCTTAAATCTATTTTTAAAAAACAAAATTATCCATAGACAATGAGAGATTAGGATTTTAATTATTTTAAAGTACATTTACCTTCACCAGATCCTTTACAACATCCATTTTGTTGAGAAGAAGACAAACTACTATAAATCTTGCATAGTATCGTAGCTTCTTAACTACCAACTCAGGTCTATGGTAGAAAAATGGAAAATCATTCATGACATTTAAAAAAATATGCTTTTTGATTTTTCTAACTTTCTGATAGCTTTTTAAACTCTTTTGATACTATTTTGCACAGTTATAAACATTGCTTCATATAACCTATAGTCTTTTAACACATTTCTTACTCAATGGTTCATTACATTGTTCATTCATATATTAAATTCATTCAAGAAGTATCTATTGAAACTTAGATGCATCAGGCACTATGCTAAGTACTAGATTAGAATGATTTAAAAAAAAAAAACTATAGACACAGTCCCTTCCCTCACAGATCTTACAGACAGAAAAGCATTTAAAATGTAGAGGAGACGGATAAATACTTAAAATACTGGAATAAATATTACAATGATGTAATATTACAAAATATTACAATGATTACAATTTGAGCCCACAGGACAGGATCTTGGGTGAGAGAAGGCATCTCAGTGAGAGTAATGTTTAAGTTAAGACTATACGGAAGACGTTACAGTAGAAACTAACACAACACTGTAAAACAACTATACCCCAATAAAAAAAATTAAGGGCTTCCCTGGTGGCGCAGTGGTTGAGAGTCTGCCTGCCGATGCAGGGGACATGGGTTTGTGCCCCGGTCCGGGAAGATCCCACGTGCCGCGGAGCGGCTGCGCCCGTGAGCCATGGCCGCGGAGCCTGTGCTCCGCGACGGTAGAGGCCACAACAGTGAGAGGCCCGCATACCGGAAAAAAAAAAAAAAAAAGAAGAGAAGTCACTGCAATGAGAAGCCCATGCACCACAATGAAGAGTAGCCCCTGCTCACCACAACTAGAGAAACGCTGTGCGCAGCAACGAAGACCCAACGCAGCCAAAAATAAATAAATAAATTTTTTTAATTAAAAAAAGATGAGAAGACAACTAGTCAGGAAAATATGAGACAAAAAGACTTCTAGGAAGATCAGTCTTTGTTTTGAAATCTTATTTTTCTGACGTTAATACAATCAAGCTAGTTTTCTTATGCTTACTATTTGTATGCCATATCTTTTTCTATCCCTCTACTTTCAAGTACCTGTGTCTTTTCATTGTAACGCATCTTTTGTAGACAGTATATAGTTAGGCCTTGCTTTTTTATCCACTTTGACAATCTCTGCCCTGTATACTCAGGAACTCAGACCATTTACATTTAGCCTTATTGTTGCCTTGGCTGAGTTTGCAACTCTCACCCTGCTATTTGTTTTCTACTTGCCCCTTCTGTGTTTGTGGTCCTCTACTGCTCCCTCCTTGCTTTCTTTTCAGCTAATCAAATATATTTTAGTATTCTATTTTATATCCTCTATCAGCTTCGTACTTATACTACTTCATTACTGTTCTTTTTGTGATTGCTAGGAATAGCAACACACGTCCTTAACTTATTAAAGGCTATTTACAATCTATATTACACCTCTTCACGCCAGACCCTTAATATTTATCCCTTATCTGGAATTCCCTGGCGGTCCAGTGGTTAGGACTCTGAGCTCTCACTGCTGAGGGCCTGGGTTCGATCCCTGGTCGGGGAACTAATATCCCTCAAGCCTCACAGTGTAGCCAAAAATACATATATATATTTATCCCTTATCAATTCAAACCGGACATTTTCAATTTCTACTTCCTGTTTTCCACATCCTGCATTGCAAATAAAAAACCTTACAACAATATATTTTTTGTATATGTTTCACATTTTCCGTAATAAAAATTTTTTAAATTCCTCTTTGACCCATGAATTATTTAGAAATGTGTCTACTGATTAACATAATGATTTTTTTAAACTATGTCTCGCTCTTAATTTTTAATGGAATTGCACCACCGTTAGACAACGTATACTTGAAAAATTATTGAAACATTTTTTTGTGGCAAATATAAGTCAACTTCACAAAAGTTTCATATAAGCTTGAAAATTATGTGCATTCGCTTATTGTCGTATGCACTTTCATGCACATTAGAACAAGTTTTCAATTATGTTACTCAAATCTTATAGTTGCTTATCTTCTTGACACATAATTAAATGTTATATTAAAAATCTCCATGTACAATACATGTGACCATTTATCAATTTCTCCCTGAAAATATGCCACTTTTTGCTTTGTTTATTATTATGCTACATTACTGGGCATATACAAGTTTAGAAATTTTTTATTTTCCTGAGTTGTTCCTTTTATCATTATGAAGTAAAGCTCCATCCTTAATAATATTTTCTGCCTTAAATATAAATAATGTATACATAAATAGAGCAGCATTTCTTCCCCTTAGTATCTGTCTCATTTGTCTTTTCCTATGTACCTTATATCTTTGGAGGGCCTCTTGTAGATAGTATATTACTGAATTTTTCTTAAAAAGGCATACTGATAATCTCTGACTTATCCCTAGGAAGTTTAGATCACTTTCATTGACTATGATTACCAATGTACTTGGACTTGTTTCTACTTTATTATTTCGTGCTATATTTATACTTTTTTCATATATATTCCTTTCGTACTTTTTACTGTAATGATCATAATTCACTTTCCTCCCCCTTCTACCTGTTTTGAATTTACACCTTCTCCTTATGTTCCTTAAAAATATTTTTCTTAATATTTTAATAAGCAAACTTTACTTACTCTAAGCTTCCTCTGAACAATAAATGGATCTTACTAGTATGGATGAATTCTTTATTTTCTCCCTTCTTTCATGTTGTTTTCCAGGATTTGGCACCATTTTATCTTAATAACCTCAATTAGCCATTATTAAGATGATTACTGTCTTATAAAGTCCATGCTTCCTTAGGAAGCAAGGGGATAATTTTTTCTCATGAATCCTTGTATATCATCCCTTCCTTTTAGTTTCAATTTTCCTCTTCCTGAAGAAATCCTCAGAAGTTCCTTTATATCACCAAAACCAACCATGCCCCTGCAAGGCTGTCATAGCACTGATCAGAGGGCTAATGACCTGGGGATTTCCCTCACGCTCTTGACAGCTAAGCTTTCCATTTAAAGGGATGGTTGATCCTTTTTTTAAAATAAATTTATTTATTTTAAAATCTTTATTTATTTTTATTTAATTTATTTATTGTTTCTGGCTGCGTTGGGTCTTCACTGCTGCGCACAGGCTTTTCTCTGGTTGCAGCGAGTGGGGGCTACTCTTCGTTGCGGTATGCGGGCTTTTCATTGTGGTGGCTTCTCTTGTTGCGGAGCATGGGCTCTAGGTGCGCGGGCTTCAGTAGTTGTGGCTCGCAGGCTCTAGAGAGCAGGCTCAGTAGTTGTGGCGCATGGGCTTAGCTGCTCCGCAGCATGCAGGATCTTCCTGGACCAGGGATGGAATCCGTGTCCGCTGCACTGGCAGGCAGATTCTCAACCACTGCACCATGAGGGAAGCCCCAAATTTATTTATTTTATTTATTTATTTTTGGCTGCATTGGGTTTACGTTGCTGCATGTGGGCTTTCTCTACTTGCGGCGAGCAGGGGCCATTCTTTGCTGAGATGCACAGGCTTCTCATTGCGGTGGCTACTCTTTGATGCAGAGCACGGGCTCTAGGCACACAGGCTTCAGTAGCTGTAGCACACAGGCTTAGTTGCTCTGTGGCATGTGGGATCTTCCCAGACCACAGATTAAACCCATGTCCCCTGCACTGGCAGCCGGATTCTTAACCACCGCACCACCAGGGAAGTCCTGCAATGGTTGCTCCTTTTTAGCCGGTACTTCTAGGTGTTTTGGACGCGCAGGCTCAGCGGCCATGGCTCACAGGCCCAGCTGCTCCGCAGCATGTGGGATCTTCCCGGACTGGGGCACGAACCCGTGTCCCCTGCATTGGCAGGCGGACTCTCAACCACTGCGCCACCAGGGAAGCCCCCTTCTAGGTGTTTTGAAGACACTATTTTAGATTATCTAGGCTGACACACTGTCAGAAGTGGAATTCAAAACGGAAGGAAAATTTGTAGGAGGTTGATGTCAATTCATACTTAAAATATTAATAAGACAATTCCATTAATTTTTTGAGAAAAAAACAGGTTCTATGAAACTATATGATAAATTATACAATCATGTAACACAGACTACATGAACATATACTGAACCAGGGATTGGCAAACTTTCTATAAATGGCCAGACATTAAATATTTTAGGTATTGTAGGCCAAATATGGTGTCTATAGCATATTTAACTTTTCTTTTTTCACAACCGTTTAAAAACGTAAAAAGGATTCTAAGCTACCAGACAGTACAAAACCAGGCCATAGTTTGCAGATCCCTGTATTAAAAACACATACAGAAGTGAGGAGGCATTTGACTTTGGAAACCACTGTGTTGAACTGCTATCCACTCATACACATGAGAGGGTATCCTATCAAGCCTGAAAACCTGAATGATGACCCACAGCCTTCTGCCTGCTGCAGAAGAAGTCATCCTGTGAAGCTCACGACTGGGAGGCGTCAAGGTCTTCAAGTTTAGATTCACATTTTCCACTATTAAAAACTTCAGGGCTTCCCTGGTGGCACAGTGGTTAAGAACTAACTGCGAGCTCTATTTACAATAGCCAGGACTTGGAAGCAACCTAGGTGTCCATCAACAGATGAATGGATAAAGAAGATGTGGTACATATATACAATGGAATATTACTCAGCCATAAAAAGAAACAAAATTGAGTTATTTGTAGTGAGGTGGATGGACGTAGAGTCTGTCATACAGAGTGAAGTAAGTCAGAAAGAGAAAAACATATACGGTATGCTAACACATATATATGGAATCTAAAAACAAAAAATGGTTCTGAAGAACCTAGGTGTAGGACAGGAATAAAGAGGCAGATGTAGAGAATGGACTTGAGGACACGGGGAGGGGGGAAGGGTAAGCTGGGACGCAGTGAGAGAGTGGCATGGACACATATACACTACCAAATGTAAAATAGATAACTAGTGGGAAGCAGCCATATAGCACAGGGAGATCAGCTCGGTGCTTTGTGACCACCTAGACGGGTGGGATAGGGAGGGTGGGAGGGACACGCAACAGGGAGGAGATATGGGGATATATGTATATGTATAGCTGATTCAGTTTGTTGTAGAGCAGAAACTAACAAACAAACAAAAAGAACCTGCCTGCCAATGCAGGGGACATGGGTTTGAGCCCTGGTCCGGGAAGATCCCACATGCCACGGAGCAACTAAGCCTGTGCATCACAACTACTGAGCCTGTAGTCTAGAACCCGCAAGCCACAACTACTGAAGCCCGCGTGCCTAGAGCCCATGCTCTGCAACAGGAGAAGCCACCGCAATGAGAAGCCTGCGCACCACAATGAAGAGTAGCCCTGCTCACTGCAACTAGAGAAAGCCTGTGCACAGCAACAAGACCCAATGCAGCCAAAAATAAAATAAATAAATTAAGAAAATAAAAAATAAAAACTTCAGGGCTTCCCTGGTGGCGCAGTGGTTGAGAGTCCGCCTGCCAATGCAGGGGACATGGGTTCGTGCCCCGGTCTGGGAAGATCCCACATGCTGCGGAGCGGCTAGGCCCGTGAGCCATGGCCGCTGAGCCTGTGCGTCCAGAGCCTGTGCTCCGCAACGGGAGAGGCCACAAGAGTGAGAGGCCTGCGTACTGCAAAAAAAAAATAAAAACTTCAGTACTGTCACCACTAGAGGTGACATGATTTTCTTTGGCAAAGTTCTTCTGGCACTCCATAATTGCTGCCTCGTCTAACCTGTTAGGACCACTACTTGTAAGATGCCGACTCTTGACACATCTGCCTGAGAAACTGTTTTTCTGGGTGGCTAACTGAAATATCTCCCCCCAGCCTCTGTGTGCTTGGAAATTTCACCTTCTCAGGATCTAACTCTGAACAGATTCAGCCTTAGTCATTTACAACCATCAGGGTTTGCAGCTTCTAGGACAAGTGATTATGTGCTATTGTCTTCTCCGCTAAACACGATGGGCCATGGAATTAGGACATGCTGAGAGTTGTGTATGTTTGGTGATAGGCAGTCACCTTGGTAATTGTTGGAACATACCATTCCTCCTGGCTTTGACACAGTCCTTAGGTACTGAGACAATGCAGAGAGAACTTGGCCTTTGGAGGAGAGATTTTTGCTTTTTAAAGCTACTGTGAAATTGTGGAATACTTTCTTACTCAGTTTTAATCTACCAGCTGTTGATTTTAGCAGCTGCTGCCAACTGCTACCTTGACTGGCCCCCTTGCCCTCGATGAACTGAGAAACAAACAACTTACCAACTGAACAAAATCGTTCCTAAGGTACAGGGAACAAGGTCGAGATTTCACAGACTGGACTGTCATTTGATGCTATGTTAGTGGCCTAAGGCAAGAGATTTTGTCATCCTGGCTCCAACTAATCTCACCTCTGTTCGTCTACCCTGCTCTAGGAGGCAGCACAGGAAAACAATTCATATGCGGTGTTTGCTATTAGTGTAGAAAATGATTTTAATAAGTCAGACTGTTGGGTTTTAAGCCAAGGGACCTAAGGCCAATTTCCCTTTTGGCAAATTAGAAAATGCGGAAAAGTGAATTATATGAGGTATTTTACTATTGCTTAAAATAGTTCTTTGCTTATATGTATTTTTCATACTCATAAAGTGTTACATAGCCCTTTTGCATTTTTTTAGGGATATAATTTATCTCACCAAGAATTTAGACAAATTGTACAACATGAATGCAAAAAAAGGGGGAGTTGGAGGAAATACATCTATAGTGAAAGTATCTGAAGCAAACCATAAGAAAATCTGAAAGGATAGTAATTGATGGAACTTCCTAATAGAAGGAGGAAGTAAGGCCAAAAAGACTTGGGGGAAAAATGTAGACTTCAGCATCCACACACCTTACTTGTTTCAAGCAAACTCCTCTAGACAAGTGTGAACAAGATTTGCAAGGGAATGAAGGGGATTTACAAGAGTGGGGCTTTCCCCAAAATGTTGCTGTTTAGCTGGAAAGCTTATGGTAGCCAACCACAAAGTGTTCTCTAGAAAAATAGGTAAAAACTATGTTTTCTTCTATTTCTAAGAGAATATAATCTTTCCACTTATATAACAACTGTGAGTTCTGTTGCTGAGAGTAGAAAGAACTTTCAGATATTCCAACAATTCCTGGAATGCTAGCAATAAAGATTCTCCAGCAGATCCCTGATTTCTTCAATAATTACTTTCTCATCTGGAATCTACCTGTACTCCAAATATGTCTGGGACACCCATGAAAAGGTAATCATCTAAAAGGAAAAGAGAGGGATTTCCCTGGTGGTCCAGTGGTAAAGAAACCATTTTCCAATGCAGGGGACACGGGTTCAATCCCTGGTCCGGGGAACTAAGATCCCGCATGCCGTGGGGCAACTAAGCCCGTGCCACAACTACTGAGCTCATGCGTCTCAACAAGAGAGCCCGCACACTGCAAACTACAGAGCCCATGTGCTCTGGAGCCCGCGCACCACAGTTACAGTGCCCACACGCCCTGGAACCCGCACGCCACAACTAGAGAGAAGCCCGCGTGCCACAAGAAGAGCCCGCGCACCACAATGAAAGATCCCGCTTGCCTCAATGAAGATCTCGCGTGCTGAAACTAAGACCTGACACAGCCAAAAAGATAAAGAAAATAAAGAAATAAAAATAAATAAATATTAAAAGGGAAAGAGTACACTTGCCCGGCTTCTTTTCATTTTCCTTCTCTCACCCTAGCATTGACCACACTGCGAGATACATAATAAGTGCTCAACAGATTACTATTGGGGATGAATAACTTCTACATGATTTTTTTTCCCTAACAGTGGAGCTACACAACTGCAAAATGGTATTGGATTTATAAAAGAAAATTCAAACAGCATTACAGCCTTTTCTTTAGTCCTATATGACAGTTGTCAACAGGGTTTTGAATGTATACGAACTAAGATGACACAGGCTAAACAGAACAAAGGTATCAGCTAAGCCTCATTTTGGAGTTGTTTCTTTTCTATGAAACTTCGTGTGATCCCAATCTCTCATAAAGAAATAATCCACCCTTCCTTTGTGCTCTGACTCTACCCTGGTACTGTGACATCTGTTACAACATCTGTAATATTTACTGTTTTTAGGTAACACATCTCCGTATGCTTAAGAAGGTCTAGCATATAGCAGGCACTCAATAAATCCCATTAAATGAATTAAAGTTATAAATAAATGTGTGATTTTCTGCATAATTTCCACAGACTAAAAATGCTGAGTGCTTTATCTTCTTCTTTCTGAAAATGGTAGGTGCATACCTGTCCTCTTTATTGACTTGAGAATAATATGATCTTTGTCTGATTGCAGAATAGAAGGAGAAAGCTTCATTCAGATAGCTGGTCTCAGATGTGCGCAGGCTATGAAAAGAAAAAGAAACTCTTTACATTTGACAGGATCTCAAACTCTTCACCATGATAAATACTTGTTCCATTATTCCTCTCTTCCTCTACTCCAGGGGATGGGAATGACTATTCTAAATTTGAGTCAGCAAAGCAATAATCATATCACCCTTAAAATGTATAAAAAGAATAGTAACGATAATAAAAAAAAAACACCTCCCTGCCGCTCCCAAGCCTTTTTTGATGGCAACCCAGAGTACACGTTATTCTCATTCTTCAAAGGGCCTCTCCAAACAGCCTTCCACTCAGTTAAATCTTCCCACCTGGGACCAGGTCTTTCATGACCTTCCCCAAATTCATATAGTAATTTGTCCTTTGGCTCATTTCTTTAGTTTTTTCTCAGAGGACTCAGAAATGGACTAATCCATATTAATCTTCATAGGATGCTGGTGAGTTGGATTTTCTGTTTAACATTTCTAGTTTGTTTTTTTAATTGGAGTATAGTTGACATACAATAATATTTGTAGTGTTATAAGGGATTTCTTAAGAAAATATTCTACCAGGGAAGGTGATTTTAATGATGGGAATCTGGGTGGCATGCCAAAAGACAGGGAAAGGAAGGAATTTTCTGGCCTATTAAACTACAAATGGTCCAAGCCTTTTTATGAAACACCTGGTATCACTTAATGATAATGAGACATTTAGATCCTAAAAGGAGCTCTCTTCTTTCCTTGACTCATGGGTGGGACTATATAGATGATATTGCACTAAGGATACAATTTAAAGTATCTTTATTGACTTCATGTAACCTTTTAGACATATATGAGGATGAGCTTTAAGGTATCCTCCTGAAAACCACTCCTTCAAACATACCAGTCATGATATGTCTCTGTACGGTATCAAGATTCAGGTGAAGCCATTAAGAACCATAAAATTCATTTAGTATTTATCTTTTATCTAAAACCAAGATCATACTCCTTTAAGTTTACAAATGAGTCTGACCAAACGAACTGTGTGGAAGGTGAGCCTCTGAAACAAATAATGTCACTTTGATTATGGAAGGGCATTTAAAAATGCTGTCTTGATCAATATGATCTGAACTTTTAGGATTTCATTTGTAACTCCTCAGTTTTCCCTCCTACCAGGTATGTATTGATGCATACTTCTGCATGCTGTGTTCAAATCAGGACAATGCTTTATGTTTTCCATTTGCGATTCACTTACTAATAATGGTAGTATAGCTGCCCAATCTTAGAAGCAATTTCCCCTATTTGCCACCGCTTCAAGCCATACCGATTATCCAAGACTTGTCTGTTTTACATAGGAAATAAGAAAATAGAAATAAGAGAATATAAATTTCAAAAATAACCAAATCTGTTAATTTAATAGGATAAAGTATCACCCAATTCATCATGAAATTTTGAATACATAAATTGAAATTCATGAATTTTTCATGAGATTTCAACATAATCATTCAATTAAATTCAAAAAGCATTTATAAAATGTCTATTTAAAGTAAGTTGAAATATAAAAACAAACTTCTTTGACCTACATGCATGAAAATTAGAAGCAACACCCCCCCCCCCCCCCCCCGCCAAATAGCTTGCCCAAAAAACAACATCTATTTTTAGAATGAAACCATGAATCTGCCTATCCATGTTAGAGTTAATCTGCACCATTTCAGATAATATTGTCTTTAAAAATCAAAAAATTTGAAAACCTTAAATAAATAGGGAAAAATCAGTTTGCTTTCATTTGGGTCACAAAGATGAAATACATTAAGATACACGAAGAGATAAAGATGAAATACATTAAGATACACGAAGAGATAAAAAGCACTGCAGTGGTATATATCAGTCAAACTGTTACTAATAAAAAATGGACCCTCACTCTCCTTTAACTGTAAAAATCCTTTACCGGTGCTGCTGCTGGAACTTCCAGAGTTTGGTGTAAACATCAAAAGTTCTTCCAAAATAAGACTGCCACTGCTTCTGCCCATATTGTGGCAAATCTCTGTAATGAGAAGTAAACATATATTAATTTTAAAACTCGTATGCTACTTGGAAATTGAGTCTTATGATGATACAAACTGGATGGATTTAAAGCACTTGCATTCAAGCTTTCCTTAAAAAAAAAAAGTTACATTTTTTAGAGCAGAAATAGTTCTATTACGGGGGTCCAGTACACATTCTTTCCTGTTCTTCTCACCTACCTCTGACAGCTCATTTGTAGGCTCCTCTGCAGATGCCTCTCCCATGAGGTTTCTAGCACTATCTCCCTTCTTTCTGGGTGCTCGTATTCATACTCACTTATATACTGATAACTTCCACATGTTTGTCTTCAGCTAAGAACTCAGCACTTGGAAAAACATTGCTTTAGGGAATAAATCTAGAAGTGGATGTGCAGGTGGTATTGTTGTTCTCAACTGTTCTACCCCCTCCCTGTAAGTGAAACTATATATCCTTGTCCTTGGGCCTGGCCATTTAACTTGCTTTGGCCAATGAAATATAAGTTATCTACCACATGTCTGAGAAGAAGATTTAAGAGGTATTACATGGTTCAGCACTTTTACTTTTCCTTCTGACCTAAGACCAAGATAGGGCTGCTCCTCAGCCTGGAACACAGAAGGCACATTTAATGGAGCCTCAGAACTGCAGACAACTTGTAGCTAACATGGGAGCCGGAAATAAATTTCTACTATAGTAAGGTACTAAAATGTTGGAGTTATTACAGCAGCCAGTAGAGTTATTACAGGAAAAGCCTGTAGAGAAACCGGTACCAGGAGTAGGTTATTGTCCTAAGAAATACATTATGTGACACTGGCATTGAGACTGAGTGTCAAGTAACTGTTACTGAAGGCTGTCATATAATACAGTGGCAAAACTGCATTTGCCTGCAATAACTTGGAAAGTAGATAATGTGACTAATGAACTTGTGGATTTATACAAATAAGCCAGGAAACAGTATGCTATTAGGCACACGTAACAAAATATGAGAAAGAGATGAACTCAAAACAGAACTAGCTGCGAGCAGGGCTGAAAAGGAAAAGAGGAAATCCACAAATTCCAGAACTTTCAAGATTGAAAAATACAACAATTTCTAATGCATAAATGTAAAAGACCCAGTTGAGAAATGCTAGCTATAAGCAGCACCTAGACAGTCTCATCCCCAGGGCAAACCCTCTTCATTAAAGCCTGTGAAGAAATTTATGAAAGTGGCGCCAAGTACATTCTTTCAGGGGGACAAAATAGATCTGGGGAAAGAATCTAAGGATTTGGCTGTCTTGTAGAAGGCTGATAAGCTCAAGGTTACCTGTAAAAGAGTCTAGAAGAGAGAGAGGGGAGTGTCTCGAAATATTGTGGGCATGGCTATTGGTATGTGGAAGCTAACCTGAATCAAACAGACAGAGTCAATGAAATCTTGAGAGCGTTGTACTCTCAAAAGCCATTTGTGTTACAAAGGAATAATAAATATTCATTGATTACATCATGGTACACTTCTTATTTCACTCATGCAACTGTGGACAGCTAGTAGTGGATGGCCTCCCTTGAATGTTTAGCCTGGCTGGCAGCTAAGGTGCTGGGTCACATGTTTCTCATCATCTAACAGGCTAGCTTGGGTCCATTTACATGAGGTGGTTGCAAGGATCCCAACAGCAGCAAAAGGGAGGGCAGCTCAGATATGCATTTTTCTTTTTAAGACTTTCCATCATATTTGCACTGTCCCATTAGGCAAAACAAATCTCATGGCCAAGCCCAGCGTCAGTGTGAGAGGGGGATGACTCATGGGCATGGATATGGGGAAGGGAATGACTTTTACAAACAATCTGTCACAGAGACCTTATGCTTTTCTTTCTTTTTCAATTTGTTTAAAAATAAACAAATAAATTTATTTATTTATTTATTTATGGCTGTGTTGGGCCTTCATTGCTGGGCACGGGCTTTCTCTAGTTGCAGTGAGCAGGGGCTACTCTTCGTCGCGGTTCACAGGTTTCTCATTGCGGTGGCTTCTCTTTGTTGCAGAGCACGGGCCCTAGGTGCACGGGCTCAGTAGTTGTGGCGTACGAGCTTAGTTGCTCCGCGGCATGTGGGATCTTGCCAGACCAGGGCTCGAACCCACGTTGCCTGCAGTGGCAGGTGGATTCTTAACTGCTGCGCCACCACGGAAGTCCCTCTTTTTCAGTTTTGAAAATATGTCTCTTAGAAAACAAAAATACTATACAGTGTATAAGGCAAGAAATAAAAAACACCTTACTGCTTTTCCTTTCTAGTTCCCAGAAATAACCACCACTGAAAATGCATTTTCTCTCTATATTTAAATATATGTCAGTTTATCTATTATTTTACATAAATGGGATCAAACTATATATAATTTTCTCTAACATGCCTTTTTAGTTTAATAATATATCAGGTTTCTTTAATGCATATAGAACTACATCAATATTTACTGTGTAGAGTGTCATATATAATGAACCAATCTACTTAACCAATCCCCTCCTGATGGACATTCATATTGCTTCCAGTTTTTCCCTGTCATAAAAATGCTGCAATAAACATATTCATACTAATAAACTTGAATAGTTATGTGATATGAGTAAAAGGCAAATTTCTGTAAGTGGAATTAATGAGTAAAAGAAGATGTGCATTTCTGTACCAGATGTTAAGACAATGAGTAAAAAAGCAAAAGGTTTTCCTACCCAAAATTTTCAGACACTACAATACAAGAATGAACAAGCAATTCCAGTTTTAAATCTATTTCCATTATCCTTACAATAAGTAGAAACTCATTTCAGATTACCAAATAGGTTAACTACAGACACTAGTTTCCAAATTTATTGCAAGTTTTTATCCTTTTTATGTCTCCATGGATCTTTAGTGAGAGGGTGCATTAGGAAGAGCTAATCAGTTATTTTTATTTTTTTTAGTTATTTCTGAAACATACATTTTAAAATACTAACTAGAATTATGACTTATAACATTATACCAGAACATATAAGATTTTTAGGAATTTCATGTATGTCTGAAACATTTATATTAACATATTTCCATACAAATAACCCAAAGAAAGTTTAGTACTAGTTTTGTTTTTTTTAAGTTTTTATTTATTTTTTTATACAGCAGGTTCTTATTAGTCATCAATTTTAACACATCAGTGTATACATGTCAATCCCAATCGCCCAATTCATCCCACCACCACCGCTTTCCCCACTTGGTGTCCATACATTTGTTCTCTACATCTGTATCTCTATTTCTGCCCTGCAAACCAGTTCATCTGTACCATTTTTCTAGGTTCCACATATGTACATTAATATACGATATGTGTTTTTCTCTGACTTACTTCACTCTGTATGACAGTCTCTAGATCCATCCACGTCTCAACAAATGACCAAGTTTCGTTCCTTTTTATGGCTGAGTAATATTCTATTGTATATACATACCACATCTTCTTTATCCATTTGTCTGTTGATGAGCATTTAGGTTGCTTCCCTGACCTGGCTATTGTAAATAGTGTTGCTATGAACATTGGGGTGCATGTGTCTTTTTGAATTATGGTTTTCTCTGGGTATATGTGCAGTAGTGGGATTGCTGGATCATATGGTAATTCTATTTTTGGTTTTTTAAGGAATGTCCATACTGGTCTCCATAGTGGCTGTATCAATTTACATTCCCACCAACAGTGCAAGAGGGTTCCCTTTTCTCCACACCCTCTCCAGCATTTGTTGTTTGTAGATTTTCTGATGATGCCCATTCTAACTGGTGTGAGGTGATACCTCATTGTAGTTTTGATTTGCATTTCTCTAATAATTAGTGATGTTGAGCAGCTTTTCATGTGCTTTTTGGCCGTATGTCTTCTTTGGAGAAATGTCTATTAGGTCTTCTGCCCATTTTTGGATAGGGTTGTTTGTTTTTATAGTATTGATCTGCATGAGCTGTTTATATATTTTGGAGATTAATCCTTTGTCCGTTGATTCATTTGCAAATGTTTTCTCCCATTCTGAGGGTTGTCTTTTTGTCTTGTTTATAGTTTCCTTCGCTTAGCAAAAGCTTTGAAGTTTCATAAGGTCCCATTTTGTTTATTATTGTCTGTTTGCTAGTATTTTGTTGAGGATTTTTGCATCTATATTCATCAGTGATATTGGTCTGTAATTTTCTTGTTTTGTAGTATCTTTGTCTGGTTTTGGTATCAGGGTGATGGTGGCCTCACAGAATGAGTTTGGCAGTGTTCCTTCCTCTGCAATTTTTTGGAAGAGTTTGAGAAGGATGGGTGTTAGCTCATCCCTAAATGTTTGATAGAATTCACCCGTGAAGCCATCTGGTCCTGGCTGAAAGATTTTTTTTTTTTTTTCCTGGTACACAGGCCTCTCACTGTTGTGGCCTCTCCCGTCGCAGAGCACAGGCTCCGGACATGCACGCTCAGCGGCCATGGCTCACGGGCCTAGCCGCTCCACGGCATGTGGGATTTTCCTGGACCGGGGCATGAACCCGTGTCCCGTGCATCAGCAGGCAGACTCTCAACCACTGCGCCACCAGGGAAAACCCTGCTGGAAGACTTTTAATGACAGTTTCAATTTCATTACTTGTGATTGGTCTGTTCATATTTTCTGTTTCTTCCTGCTTCAGTCTTGGAAGGTTACACCTTTCTAAGAATTTGTCCATTTCTTCCAGGTTGTCCATTTTATTGGCATAGAGTTGCTGGTAGTAGTCTCTTAGGATGCTTTGTATTTCTGCCGTGTCTGTTGTAATGTCTCCTTTTTCATTTCTAATTTTATTGATTTGAGTCCTCTCCCTCTTTTTCTTGATGAGTCTTCCTAATGGTTTATCAATTTTGTTTATCTTCTCAACGAACCAGCTTTTAGTTTTATTGATCTTTGCTATTGTTTTCTTTGTTTCTATTTCATTTATTTCTGCTCTGATCTTTATTTCTTTCCTTCTGCTAACTTCGGGTTTTGTTTGTTCTTCTTTCTCTAGTTCCTTTAGGTGTAAGGTTAGATAGTTTATTTGCAAGATTGTTTA